TTTTTTTTTTTTTTTTTCTTTTCTCTTCTTTTCTTCTTTCTTTCTTTTTTTTGCTTCTCTTCTCTTTTTCTCTTCCTTTGTTCTTCACATTCTCTTCACTTTATTTTTTTTTTTTTTTTTTCTTTCTTATATATGGTGTGGTGGTGGGGCGCAGACGTACGATCTGGGTTGGTTGCTTGATGGAGTAGCAGCGGAGGGCATAGCCGAGGACTTTCGACGGCGGTGCCGACGACGATGGTGGTAAAGAACCAGGCGCGGTACTTGATGATGGTGAGGTAGAAGATGGCGAAGAGGACAATGCCGTAGAGGGCGGTGGCGAGAACGGTGACCGGGAAGGATGGGTCGTATGGCCAGATGGAGGTGACTTCGTCTGCCATCTTGTAGCGGGGCTTTCTCGCACTGGGCGTGGTTTTTGTGCAAAAATAACCCGTACTGGGGCAAGAAGACGAAACCACAGGCTTGGGGAGATGAGGCAGACTGTTGGATAAGGGCTGATGGTGAGGTGGTGCAGTACAGCTCAAGGTTGCCCCAATAAGGCGGTTATATACAACATCTGTGGTCGTCATCTTGTATCATCGCTAAGTTCTTCACTAAGATTTGAGCCCGACGGCCGCGCGACATCTCTCGGATCAAAACCGAGGAGACGTAGGTACGAAATGTTTCTTGGTGTGGGTCGTGCCAGCCCCTGACTTTGTCTGTTCCTGGAGACGTATCCGAATCCGACGAATGCGATGGCGTCGTCAATTCTGAGCCCCGGCAAACACAACGGGCCACCGCGATAGGCCCTGCCATTTCCGAGTATTGCGTTTACTGCAGGCACATATCGCGACAAATTCCCCTTTAATAGCCCGGGGTATGCATCCGGCTCACATAGCATAAACCCTCCGTGATGCGGTGTTGCACGACATTGGGGATCGTCAAAATAACCACCGAGAGGCGCCTCTTTGGGACAGGAACAGTCTTCAGAGGTCTGCGATAGGTAATCATGTCCAACCAGCACCGGAAAAATGACTTTGTCCATGAGTGGGGGCGAGAGCATGAGGTCCAGTACTCCCTTCGTGCCACCTCTCGGGTTTGGGCATTCGGTGTGCCCGAGATCAAATCATGCGCTGTTGAGGCATCGACAGCTTTTACGGTTGGTCCGGTTGGTTTAGGTTCCCACAAGAGCGACTAAGGGGTTGACTGGCGACTCTTTTTCTCTATCCCTTACACGCTCCAAACTCCAAGCTCCCAACCTTAACCAAAGCGAATCCCGGTATTCGGGTCCCACGCCCCTCTCGTAGGCGGCTTCGTTGCTCCCTGTCTTCCCGCCTGGAGATTGTTACTCCCGCCGGTGGCAGGCGGCCCGCTGAATCGTATCCCCATCTCAGGGGTCCATGCACCCTGCATACTAGCAACGGGAGCGACGGGTGGTATTGGCCCGGGGTTGCTGCGGCTGTACGTTGTCGGCCCAACTCTGGATCTGCGCCTCAACCGGTGGCGGGGCATGGATGGTCTGCCGATTGGATTGAGGCTGGGGTTGGGTGTAGTAGGACGCTGGGTTTGGGGCTTGGTAAGACTGTGCAGGCGGTGACGTGGGGTTGAGCGAGAGTGACGATAACGGTGGCATGGAAATTTCACTGTACCAGGTTAGTATTGGGTCAAAAGTGGGGTGCGTGGTTGGCTTACTCTTCGAGGGCGCGCGCCTCCTTCCTCCTCTCGTTGACCCATTGGCGCGCCTGGTTCCGGAACCCCTCGACGATCCTGCTGAGGTCGTTGTAGAACTTCCTCCCCACCTCCACATTGCTGACAATCTCCTTGTATTTATAGTACGCGTTGTCGAGCCGCTGCAGTGCTTTCTCTCTCTCGTGACTCCCCTTCTCGCCAATGCTCCGCTTCTGCGCCTCGAAATCTCGGTTCGCCCGTTGGAGATCCTCGATGGTCTTCTCTTGATCCGCCAGTTCCTTCTCCACGACTTCGAGCTCAGGTTCGTACAGGCTGTCAAGACGCCTGTCGAAGAAGTCTTCAAAATGCGCTGGAACAATCGGAGTGTTGGGATATAACCGTTCCAGACGCGCCGCTTCTCCGAGAATAATCCGTTTTGATCTCATCGGCACGGCTTCTGGCCCGAAGAGACTCGATGCGTTTTCTCCTCCTGGATTCGAGACGCAGGACGTCGTTGTAAGCACCTCTCAACCTTCCTATGGCTGGTTTCAGGAGCTCAGGGATCTCGGTCTTCCTACTGTTCGGGATGTAGTCCATCAAGCCTCGGTCAGGGCCGGCGAGGATGGCCAGTGTGTCCTTGACCGCTGCGAATTTCTCACGGACCACCGCATCGCTAGAGGTACTCGAGGCAAAGTAACCCTCGATCTCGGCCGCTTGGTTCCACAGCCTGGAACCACCGTCGCGGCTCGGTTCGACCCGAGACTCTGGCCGCGCCCAGCGCTGCGTGCCATGTTTCAGCCGCATACTGTTGTCCTCCTCCTCCTCGGCTGCCAGCAGCGATCGACCCTCGTCAAACACCGCCTTGTCGCTCGCGCAAAGCTTCTCAATATCAGTGAGGCCGCGTTGAAGTCGATCGATGGCATCGGCCTGCCGAATTTCGTCGGCGTGTTGCGTAAGGGTGCCAGGCAGCCCCAACGGCTTCTCGAGTGCTTGCAGTGAGCCGGGAAGGTTTAAGCTGGAGAGGATCTCGTGCAGCTTGTCGGTCATGGTCTCGAGTTCCACGACAATCTTGTTGTTGACGAGACGATCCCTCCGTTCCTCGTAAATGGAAACGGCCAGATGGACAGAAAACGGAACCAGCTTGGTGAACAGGGCAGGCCCAAACTCGGCGTGGTCCCCCATGTACTCGTGCGGGTTTGCAACCTGCGGCGGGACACGAGCCACGGCCATGTTCGCGCGTTCAAGGATTTTCAGTTCAGACTTCGGTGGAACGATCTCTGCCAGTAGTCAGTATGGCGGACATAGAGGTTTGTGCAATAAGACTCACGGAGGTAAAGAATGTCGTTGTCTTTGTCGGCCCGCTTAAGGTCATCCTCCACTCGTCTTTTCAGCCCCTGAAGATCGTCCACCACGGCCTTGTTGATGTACCCTCCCCCTGCATTTCCTTCAACCCCTTCGTTGACGCAAGCGACGGGCATCAGTCAGCCTCGCAACCTCCTCGCCATTACCTCTTCTTCTCTAGGCAATCACACGCAGCGCGATACTGGGCGGCAGCGGCGAAGTGGTGGTGCTTGGCACTCATGTGGTGGATCCAAGCAGAACTGATGGCCTCGCTGCGCATCGCCGCCTCCCCGGCTAGGTTGTAAAGATCCGACACTCGCGCGGCTAGCTTGGCGATCGAGGCGTCTTTGTACCCATCCATCACGGCTTTCTGCCAAAAACACTCTTGACTCTGAGCCAGGAACAACTCCGTCAGGGACTCCAGCGTCGCGTCGTCCATATCATCGGGCGGGTTGGGCATGCGCAGCTCGGGGAGCACTTCGGTCCTGATATGCTTTAGCACCCCGGCGGCTTGGGAGAAGTAGCTCGCTGCTGTCTTTAGACCCTCGGTGCTGCCCCGGTTGGATGACATGGCAAGCTGCGAGTATAATGCGGCCAGGTTGTAGAGGACGTTCATGAGTTCGTATGTGAGGTTGTTCTGGACTAGGGGATGTTCGGTGTGGTAGCCCAGCGCGGGATACCATGTGAAGTCGACGCCGATCTATTATGCAATCCCCAGTTCCGTTGTCAGTCTACCGTTCCCGAAAAGCCAGAACACAGGAGTCCTTACATCGACGGGGAATTTCCCATTCATCCCCACGAGCTGCCCGGCGTATGTCTGCAACTTCTTAATCCCGCTGGGGTGGGCGTCACGCGAGTTGACGGCGTCGCGGCGCAAGAAGTCGATCACCTCGAGGTCCTGGCGAAACATGTCCGGGTGCTGGTCGTACTTCTTCGAGATGTACTGGCGGATCGACGAGGCGAGCGAGAGCTGGGTCGACTTCCGAAAAGGAAGCGACAAGATATTGGAGCTGTGGCCATCGAAGTCAGCTTGGGGGGAGATGGTGGAATGGAGAGAGCCGAGGTCGCGGCGGGGTGCCGGGGTACACTCACGTCGTCATTTTGACTGCGGTTGCGCACCGCAGTGCTTATCTGGGAATAGCCTCGTGTCCGGGGAGCTTGCAGGGCCGCCTGGGTGTCAAAACTCAGAGGTAGCATGGGCTGATGTCATCAGGCACCGCCGGGCCCTTCAGGGAGTGTGTTCTGATGGGACGATTGTTTGGCGGGGTGTTTCAGATGCAGCGCCCAGGCAGCGCTGGCCAAACCCATGCAGCGGGTTTCTTGATGCCTTGTATTCAAGGCATTGAAAAATGATGTCCAATTGAGCCAATCTCTCCATTTCGTCTCAGTCCAGCTCAAAACCACCCATCATCTCACTCAACTCCTCAAGGCACAACGCAGCTCCTATGGAACTCAGGGTTGAGGACCCAAGTTCTCTCAACGTATGTCTAACATGAGACCGCTTGGCCGCAGGAGACCACTCTAACCGTTGGGCCTTTTCTTGTTCACAAACGGAAACCTATTAATTAGGGCTGGGCACCCAGGCGAAACGGATTCGGAGCTGGCCAAAAAGAAAGAAGGAATTGAAAGCTTGAAATTCAACAACACCACCGCATCACGACATATGCACCAGGCCCATTGGGTGCCCCGGCCGCATCGGTACCCGGTTTCTCCAATCATCACGAGGGACCATCCAGCACCTGGCTTTTCAGCCCAGAAGCCCCCGACGACGCCGACTTCTTTCCTATTGTTAGATGGATTCCTTGTTTGATGATTCAACCAGCTCCCAACCTGCCGTGCAACCTCCATCCGTCATGCAGCGTCCTTGAGGCGTTCTGTCACTCGCTCCAGCGCGGCTGATGCAGTGATCCTGACTTCCTTGTCTCGGCCGGCCACCTTTCGGCTACCTTCAAATTAACCCGACACCATGCCCGGACAACACAGCCATACAGACGCAGTGTCCGCTTCATCATCTACTTGGATGTACATACTTCGGATCTCCCCCAAGATGCAGACCATAAAATGCGCGCAAAAGCGGCGCCCGTTGCTAGGGTCTTGCGGCAAATCAGCGAGAACTGTCCACCGCTCGCCTTCGATATCACCGGATTTCCAGGGATGAGGATCGGGAATGCTCTCGGATTTCAATGCTTCTTTCGGTCCCGACTTCCGAATTACCCTGGTGTTACCACTTGTTTCAACTGTCGCAAACTTTCGACCGTCAACGGCGGACAGTCGAAGATGCCCGATCACGCCGCGACATCGCAGCTGATTTCAAAACTCCCGCTTTCAAGTCCCACCTTAGGTCGGCACGCTGGCGAGATCTCGGGTTTTTTTTTGGACACTGCGGCGCTCCTCGTTGTGCTGCGTATACACTAGGCAGCACAGTACAAGGCTGGGTTTTGTACAAGCTGTCCCGACTTCGTACCAGGCCTACCGCCGTGGCGTCTTGCAAGCTGTACCTCAGCTTGCAGCTACCGAACCCTGCCCTCTGCCTTCCGTCCACTGGTCCCTCTTTTGCGGCAAAGTCAACCGCGGCCGGCACGGTGGCATGCGGCCCGCAATGGTTCTGGTCGGCCGGATCAGCTCTCCGACTCATTTTGAAGACCCGAGACCGTGGCGGTCATCCATACTGTCAATCACGCGCATAAAGGTTCCGTTGCGGTGTCAGACGATCGCCGTAGCATCATAATTGTACTTTCCACAGCATCCGTCGTATAGAGGTATATCACCAAGCATGGACGACCCTGCTGTGCAAATCCCGATCCCGGGCCTGTCTGCCCAAGACCTGAAAATGAGCTCGGCATCAAGCCTCATTGTGTCAGGTTTACCTTGTCAGCTCTCTGAGACAACATTACCGCAGGTCCTGTGCATCGTTACACAACAGCCCTGGCGCAACCACCACACAGCTACTTTTCTCACCGCGACTCGGGACAAGGTCCGCTGGCGATTCACTTAGCCGGCTGCTATCACCCTCTTGGTATGTCACCGGACCGGGGAATACCTGTTCCTGATTTGAGTGGAAGGGATGTTTTTCTCGCCCCTTTGGCCCAGTTCATCCAACGGGACTAGCCAGTATTGATAGATTTCGGACCTTTCTTATCCCAACGCCGCGGTTGCAAGGGCCGCAGCTTCGGCAATGCAACCACGCATAGTAGCAGTTAATCACGCAACCTGCTTGACTTCTTGAGGTTCTGCTGGATACGACATGTCATTCTATTTCCTTGTCAGGCGGCCACAGGCCGGACATCCCCATGTCAATGTCCACAAATTATCCCTGTCGGGTGTCGTTTATGTTGTGAGACTTGGCTTGTGCGGGAACGGGATAATTTAGCACATTTCAACACATTTTACCGCTCCGCTCTTCTCGCCGACGAGTTCGACGGGGCTGCACACAGAATTTCAGCACCAAACTCCTTGTGAGGGGGGGGTTGTGGCGCAAGATCTGAGACCTGGTGCCCAAATAACCTTACCGGTAATTTACTAAATAAGCCACCACTAGCCGAAACGGGAACATGTGAAGCCGGATTATCAAGTTGACATCATGGGGGCCGTACCACCACTCAGGATGGCAAAAGAATCCGGGTCGAAGCGGTCTTGCACCGTGGGGAACGGGAAGTCACCCCGGGGAGACCCAGTCGATAGTACCTTGCAGGCCCGAGGTGTGGGAGCCCGGCATTGTGGACACATGGTTAGTGCCAGGAGACCTTCCCCTCCATTCCCGGTTGCTGACTCTTCGGGCGCGCTACACAACATTTCTTTTCTGGCACACTATAGGCTGAATCACCATCAGCATCCCGGGCACTTTGGCAAGTAAATTCTCGCACCGACTGTGACAGGTTTAGAACTGGCCAGCACAACTATCCTCCTTTCAGCACCCGGGATCCCACCTACCAGGATACCACTCCACTATGCTTCCGTCTTATCCAGCTTAACGATGGAGCCCCTCCTTTACGGACTCTCTCCACGTCGAGTTCCCAATAGGCGAAGCCGCCTCGCCAGGTGGTTACTGGTCCGAAGAGGGTTGGGTTGGTGCCGAGAGCCAGAGCATGTACAACAGTGTCCCCGGGTCACAAACTTGCTTATTCGGGCACTGGGTTCCCCGCCACGAACCAGGGTCCAGTTGCGCATCTCGGAAAGATCAGGCTAGTGAGACACTTATGACCCAGGCCAGGGCACATCCCACTAAGATGGGATGCCTCGCTGTTATTTATTTATGGGGCCATAGGGGAGCGTGGATCTTATTAGTACCTTCGCGGTCTCGGTCAGAAGCTTCCCCTCTCCGCCGACCCATTTGCTCGTCATTCTCAGGCCATTTCCCCACCGGTGAATTTCTTGACCGCCACAATGCAGGGCCTTACGCTGGTTCTCCTCTACCTGGCTATCCCGAGTCTTCTCTACTCGGCCATCAGGCAGATCGTATCGTGGAGGAAAAGTGTCGGATCCAAGGCCAAGTTCCCGGGGCCACAACTGTTTCCTATCGTGGGCCGTGTCCATGATCTACCCCGGTTTTCACTTTGGTTAAAATTCAAGGAATGGGCCGACGAACATGGGCCCATCTACTACACCAAGATGCTAGACCAGCCATTCCTCATCGTCTCAGATGAGAAGATCGCCGAGGAACTGCTGGTAAAGCGAGGCCATATCTACTCGGGCCGGCCGCAGATCCGCTCCCTCATCCGCCACAAGGAGGGCCCCGCCTACTCGGCGCTGATGGACCGCCATGGTAAGTTCCGCCCCCCAACTCTAATCCAACCTCCCTCTCACCCAACCTACTCACACCCACACCCCCAACACCGCAGACATCTGGAAAGCGCAGCGCAAATGGGCTCACGCCGCCATGGCGGAGGCGTACAAGCATCACTTCTACGGGCACGTCGAGCGCGAGATGAAGCGGTACCTGGGCCTGCTGCTGCTAGACCCGGCGCGCTTCCTCGACTACACGCGCGAGTACTGCGGGCGCGTCATGTCGCGCCTGGCCTGGGACGACGCCACCCAGGGCCGCACCAACGGCGACAGCGCCGACCAGACCCTGCACTGCATGAGCGTGTCGGGGCCGATCACCAACACCCTCACCCCGCTGTGGTACCTGCCCGCGGTGGTTAACCCGTGGTATAACTATGAGGTGCAGCGGGAGAGGACGCAGCGGGCGTGGTGGTTGAATAATTTCCGGTTGGCGAAGGATCGGATGAGGAGGGGGGAGCTGCCCGGTGATACGTGGGCGTATCGGTATTTTGAGCAGGTGAGGAAGGAGGGGAATGGGGAGTTGGAGCAGGAGGAGGAGCAGGAGGTGTTTGCCAGCTGCATGATTGGGTTTTTGAATCTGGTTGGGGTGGTGACTATCAGCGGGCCGCTCAAGTTCTTCCTCATGGCCATGGCGCTGCACCCGGAGTGGCAGAAGAAGGCTCAGGAAGAGATCGACCGCGTATGCGGCGACCGCATGCCGACCATGCAGGACTTCGCCGACCTGCCCACCGTCAGGGCATGCATGAAGGAGACAGTGCGGTGGAGGTCAGGGGTGCCACTGGGTGAGTAACGCCATCTCTTCCCCGTCCCCTTTCGGGCCCGTTGTTGCACAAGAAGCTGACGCCGGCCCAACAGGCGTTCCGCATCAAGCAGAACAAGACGACGAATACCGGGGTGTCAAAATCAAGAAGGGCACGATCGTCCTCGCCTGCGAATGGTATTGTTCTCACCCCCCACTCAGCCACTCCCTCGGGTTGCACACGACCAACCAACCCAACCCCCAACCCATCAACCCCCCAAAACTAACCACCACCACCAGGTCTCTCAACCGCGTGCCCAGCAAGTACCCCGACGGCGAGCACTTCCGCCCCGAGCGGTGGCTGGACCCCTCCTGGCCGACCTTCCAAGCGCCGCTCTCGCGGTACCCCAACTTCCGCGAGGGTCACGGCATGCACAGCTTCGGCTGGGGTCGGCGCACCTGCCTGGGGCAGAACATTGTCGACGACGAGACCTTTGTGTTCGCGGCCGCGGTGCTGTGGGCGTTCGAGCTCGGTCCGAAAGTTTGTCCGCGTACCGGGGAACGGGTGCCCATTGATACGCAGGCGACGAATAGTCATGTCATTTTGGAGCCCAGTCCGTATCAGATTAGTATTAGGGTGAGGGGGGAGGGGAAGGGGGGGTTGGTGTTGGAGGGGTATCGGGAGGTGATGGCGGAGTTGAGGGTATGATTGAGGGGGGAGGTGCTGGTTGGGAGGTTGGAGAGGGCCGTGGGCCGTGGATAGTGTGCTTGGCTGGGGTGCGGATTCGATACTGCTGACTGCGGGACAGGGAGGGAGGTTGGTAGCGCGATATCACGGCGGGTGGCACTAGAAGTGATCTTCAATTGCTTTGTGCGTCTTCTCTCTCTTCAATTGCTCAATTTGTTCATTGGTCTCGCGATGGGCATATTTGGGATTTCGAACTATGAGCTCCAGCCTGTATGAAGAAAGGTGGATGTCAGTCTGTCCATCAATTGCACTTGATTAAGATATCTCGTGTTTGAGAGGCCCGAGTCCACAACGCCTCAAACTTGTCCACTTCATGAGGTCTTGTGTGCTTTGCGGTCCGCCCACCTCGTCGTACAAGGTGCCTGGGTTGAAGTCTGAGGTGTCACTGACAGGGAATGGTGTAACGGGACGTGGTACGCAATGTCTGACCTTGATCGAACGAGTCTGAGACACTTGGAGGCCCTGCGGAGCGGCTCTGGCACGCACAAACAGGCACAGATTACCGTATCAAGTGCTGGGAAACTAGGGGATGTGTAAAGTTGAATGGCGTCACGCGCGCGAATAACATATGTCTATTATCCATGGTGTTGAGCCAGCCCCTGGCTAAAGATAGGGATTATCACACTTTAGTAGTCAACATATAGCTCTTGAACTATGAATACAATATGTGATACGACGTGCAATGATGGTCTATAAATGGCTGTGACTATTGACATGCTCTTCCCGACTTGATGGCGTTGGCTCGGACAACCTTTTCAGCATTTGCCAACCGGCAATTGGCAATCGATCGGGTTTCCCGAGAACTTAAAGCGCCGAGCAATTCGATTTAGACTAGGTAGCAAAGTTGGGGCAACGCGTCCACCCTCACCAGGTAGACTGGGGTAGTTCAATTCCCCCCTTGCCCAGCGCCTGACCAACACTCGGGTCGTCTCCGGAGGTGAAGGTCGAGGCACGCAACTAGTATAAAAGGGTGACATGTATGATACTTCAAAATCATCGATGTGCCAGTTTCTTTAGCGCAGTAAAACGAAGGAAGGGGGATAGAATCTTACGCAAATGCATACACGAGCCAACCGTGCTCGGTAAGAAGATCGATATAGGGGGCTGGAAGACTCTGTTCAATGTTTGGGGGACCCAAAGCGTTGTTGTAATCGCGTAGAATCACCCCAGTGACGATCATGAGGCAGAGAGTGTCAAATACTAATCTCTCAAGGGTGCTTAGGTTCGGTGCAGCCAAAAGGTGCACAACAAAGGCTTGTCTCAACAGTAGGCTTCCGAACTTGTAGCAAACTGTAGTTGTGATTGCTAACCGGAGAACTCCCAGAGCTCTCCAGAACGAGTGACTATATACTATCCACTTGAGGGTGCTCAGGGTGCTCACGACTCCCTTAATGAGCAGAATGAGCACTTGCTCATTCCCTTGGCAGGGTCCTTCTTGAACAATGGGTCGGACGTCCCATTGGCCGTCCTTCTTACTTAATGATTGGCTCGGGGTACTGCCAGCGTACCCCGCCGGCTGCATGCGACCATAATCGTGACATTTGAGGGGAAATAGCTGGAAGAAGTTTAAATGAGGATAGAGACATGGGGCTCGCTGGGGGTGCCTGATCGAGTTTGGCCGGTGCAGTGGCTAACAGCAGTACGGCGGCAGTTTGTTTAGCACAAAGATATTTTAACACTCCAAGCCATCTCCTCTTACACAATCAGAGAGTAATTCCTCGATTGGAGGATCATGTTTTCTTGTCAGTTGACACATTCCCTTCCAGCCAAAACCTGTTATCCGAACCACACAACTTGGTTAGGTTTCACAACTCGATTGTTCAGGCAAAATCCGTTTGGGCAGCAGAGAGTGTATTGTCCATGATATACGTAAAACAAGGCCAGACTCAGTTACCCAGTAGAACGTCGCCGAAGATCGAACACCCTTCTCCCCATTCTTGCCAGTATATTGAAGTCATGCCAGCCCTTTGAAAGACCTCGAAGAGACGGCGTGACGTGTGCCATTCCTCCGCCCCCTCGGGATCCCTGCGCCGAAGAGCCCGGGACAACCCTTGTTGTATCTCAATAGGAATAGGGACCCCACAAGAGTTTCGGTCCCGGGCGTGGAGTATTTGCTCGGCTTCTCGGGCTACCCACAGCAGCTCCTCCTCTAGATCCTCCTCTTCTTCCACAAAGCACATTCGTGCGGGTGTGGCCTTGGAGTGCAGTATGAGAGTCAAACGTCCCAGCATGGGCGTGTCCTGAACAGTATCTCCAGTTTCGGGAAGGGGGTCGATGTTTGGAAACCGGTTCTTCCACTTCCGGAGCATTCGAGTGAGTATTGCCGAGAGGGGGTAAGCAAAGACGAAGCGCAGACCTTCGATTCCCTGGACCAAAGCTTCCCCGCCGTCCCAGTCTCTAAAATGCAATTCCTCCTCAAACAAGTGTCCATCTTGGACCTGGTAGCTGACTCGGAACTCCTCACCATTAGCATCAGCGCCATTAAACATTAACAGTTGGATCAAGTGAATAAAGTCTCCGGCTAGGTTTGAGTCAAACAAAGGCATATCACGCTCCAGGCGCCAGGCACTAGACATGAGGCGTTTGAGAGGCGTCTCGAGGACGTATACTGGGTCAAAACGACTGTAGCCTTCGATCCGCTGTGGCCCTTTGGTCGAAGGACAAGCACCCCGTTCCAAGAGTAACCTGGCGAGCTTCAGACGGGAATCGATGGCCAAGGGGGCCAAGAGGGAAGACCGAGACTCCTTGTCCCACCATTTCGAATTTAATTCTTTTCCATCTTTGAACCAAAGATCATCGGCGTAAAGAGCGAACTCGATGTTGCAAACGTGCAGCAAAAGCTCCGAAAGTGTCTGCTTGTTCAATTCCATATCCTGGACCTTGGCCCATATGATGGGCCAGATGTTTAGGTTCATTGATGCGGCCTCGAGGAGGAACTCATGCTCCCGCTTGACAATCATTTCGTAAAGGCCTTGAATACCGTCCGGCCCTTGACGCTCTTCCTGGTAATCCTCGACATTGCGGAGAAGTCTGTATTCTCTGAAAATGTGGCCGGATTCGAAGAGCTGCTGACAGGATCGGAGCAGTTTCTCACACTCGCCTCTCGCGTTGTCTTCATCTCCCTCGGGCAGCGCATGAAGTAGCGAATTAATCGATACCAAGTGGCCCCAAAAGCTGTTGTGATAACTGTACCTAGTGGAAAATGGAGCTTTCTCCAAGCCCTCATCCCCATCGCGATGTCGGACAAACGGGGCCGCTCGGAACAACCGACAGCGCGCCAGGCGTGCAGCGACAATCCTCTGGCGGAGATACCATTCCGAGATCTCGTTCTTCCTCAGTATCATTAAGCCTTCCACGGAGTCGGTCAGGAAGTCGGAGGCAGTCCGATGGACGAACTCCACCGGCCCCGGGTAATACTCTTCCCCAGCGTAAGGAATCAGATCATAATAGTCATCACCATGCCAGGGCATCAATCCAGAAGTATCCCTTGTTTCCGAAATTGGGTTGACTTGGAGGAGACCAGCGCATCTGATTTCGACGTCCCGCATTTTAGCCTTGCACAACTCGACGAGCGATGTCACAAATCCGGCCTCATACGAGCTGCGGCCTAATATTTGACTGGCCATATCCGTGGTTGTGGCGATGGTTGGAGTCAAGCGATCAGTAAAATGTTTTTTGATGGCTAGCTGAAAGTAAAGAGCAGCTCGTTTTTGATGCTCTGGATGCTCGCTGTCACCGTTTGCCCTTGCCCACATGTCCGCGTACAGCTTACCGAGCTCGCTCGGCAGGCTGTCGATTCGGTCTTGCAAATCGGTGAACATCTGGCCTTGCCAGAGAGCCTGCATGACCATTTTGGTTGTCAGACAGAGCCATAGAAAGACTCCCTCGGCCTTATTGACAAGCTCAGTGATGAGCCAGTATCGTAGGTCAGGTGGAGTCGGTGGCCTCTCGAAGCTGAAATTGGCCCAGTGACCATTGGCATCGTACGTGGATAGTTTCCAGTTCGGGGGGACGCAGATTTGGTATTGAGCCGGGATGGAAAGGGTGTCCTCAGCGTATCGGCGAAGGTCGGTATAGTTGAGGTGCTCGAGGCGTAGGTGTGGACATGCCCAGAGTTTTTGCTGTATCAAGGGCTCGCGACGAGCACCTAGGCACATCTTGATTTTTCCTTGGAGCCTTTGGGATTGCCGTAGGGCATCGACAACATCCAGAAGCGCAAGGGTGCTGTCCGCAGGAAGGACCTCATCGAGCCCGTCCAAGAAAAGAGCGATCGGCCTCGGGTAGTGTGCCATCACGTCGAGAAGGGTCGATTGAAGTTCGTTGTAAGACCAGTCTGTCTCCACATCCTTATCCAACGCGATTTTGTTGTTCGAAAGGATCCCCATGAGGAATTCCTTGTCCTTGTCGAGTAGCTGGTGGAGGAGGGAGCAAAAAAGGCCTCTAATACTCTGCTGCATCTTGGTGCCAGGTCGCCAGAAAAAATGCGAGACGATGATAACGCTAGGGCTCCATTGTTCCAGGAAAGCTCGCGTTTGGGAGTGACCCAGGAGATAACTGACGAGGGTAGTTTTTCCTGATCCAGGCTTGCCGCTAATCCAATACGCCGGCTCCGTGGATCGAAGCCAATCCGAGAAGCTGTCCCAAGGGTGGTCGGCATCGGTATCCACGGGTTCTCTAGCATCGCTACTGTCTCTCAAGACCCACTCGTATGTCTGAGGGTGCGACTCGGCAACCATACTCCTCCGCTCGTTCATACGATCAAACTTGAGGCTCTGTAGGAACCGCTCCCTGCGAGCTTCCAACTGAATAGCTCGCTCTCGCGCATCCCTGCTCCCATCCCTGCTTCTAATCGCGGTTGAAATGTGCTTCCCTAGCAACCTCTGAGCCTGGGCCGTTTCTTGCGTGATGTGCTTCTTCAAGGAGCCTTCAACCCGCGTAGTCTCTTGTATCGTGGATTTCGTTACAGCGTAGATACTGCGCTTGATCTGAATGGCAACGTTCTTCCTTGTCTGGATCGCCTCGGTACGCACGAGTTCGGCCGTTTCTGAACGTCCTTCACGGTACTCTTCCACGAACAATCGTAGGGTCGAATCGAGATTTTCCAGGCCGCCAATAGCCTTTTCGGTCCGCTCAAAGATTCTCGTCAAGAGGCCCGTCTGCAGTAGTTGCTCCGCATCCAGCATCTCCTTTCCCAGCCTGTCGAGCCGCCGCTGCCGCCATGCCGTTTTCACCGCAGTCTTCAACATCGCCACGAGCTTGGACTTGGTATCAGGGCCCTTTAAGAAGTTGACTTCCTCGCGCAAATCTCGCGCTGCATTCAGGCACCTGTTCGCAAGCCCCAGGAGCTGCGTATCCTGATCGGTCGGCTTTGGTTGGGCGGTGCTCCGTGGGTTGGCGCCCGGCATCGTCGCTGGCCGGATGCGCTTGGAGAGATCTTCCAAGCGTGTTGCGTGGTCGATGAGGGCGGGGTCGAGCTCGCCATACTGGTACACCTGCCTTGCAGTACGGATTGTGTGTCGCGCGACACCGATGACGTGAAAAACATTACATGCCAGAGAAAGTGCTGCAAGTGGTTCGAGGCCAGACATGGCTTGTGAAAGCCGAGTTGAGCGTAGATGTATGAAGACAGGAAGACAAACAGCTCGCCTTTGGTGTTTTGTCCAGCAGTCAGAGTCGAGTGCTGCAAATGGGCAGTTAACCCCGCCAGTGCGGGGATTACAACATGTAGGAGAAACGGGGGCTGTGCTTCAGCTCCAGAGCCTGACTGGCCTCTCTTGGGGGCTGAGCAGCGGGCAGTTCAATTGCCATTATGTCGCTCCGCTGCACTCGGGCCGGGAATGGCGGGCTGTAGCAAATACCAGGTATCGCGATAGCGTTAGAAGCACAGGGCAAATCCCTTCTCTCTGGAGGGACGTGCTACATTCGTGGTTCAGTTGGATCATGTTCTTCTTCTCTCCGGAATGAGGCGGGGGCAGACTTTAGATGAATGGATGGAATTTATTTCGCCCGGAGGCACTGGGCCTATAGGGCCTTAGCACGCTAACTGCATCCGGACCAAATCGTTTTGCCTTTAGCTCGTACAAGCCCCCTACTTCTTCCCTCTTTCTCGCTGCACCATTTACCTCTTGCCTTGGTTGTTGTTAGCAGATCAGCTTGGAGGCTACTTTCTCCAAGTGTTCAGCGTCCTATATTCAGCAGCTAAAGCGGGACCTGCTGGTTAAGGCTCGTGGTTGAGGCTCGTGGTGTTGAGTGTCGGCTTCTTCTACTGTGACTGGTCTAGACTCTCCCCCTCATTCAGCTCCAGCCTTCCTGTTGCCATTGCGTATTTGATCGTCGCCCGGACTGCCTTCATATCTGGTGACCAATGCCTTGTATCCGATGGCGCTTTCCCTCCCAGATAGAACGAGAGGCTTCCTCGTCTTGCCACTGTGCATTGCAGCATGTCTTCCCTCAGAGCTGTCGGGGGCAGACTTTGCAGCCGGGGTTGTCGTCCCCGAGGTCCAGGACCACGTGACGACTGCCCCAGCGGTGGATCCCCCCCCCCCTGCCCTCCGTCACGTCCCCCTGCGAGGACGTAACTCTGGCGTAGATATTCCGACACGGGCGTTAGTTCAATGTCCCCAGGCTTTGACAACCCCCATACCGGCCACCTAGCCGCAGCAAAAGCACCGCATTTCCTGGAGGGTATTTAGGATGGAGAAATTCGATTCGGTGAGGCCAAGATGCCGCAGGTTGTTGTTTGGATCTCCTGCCTCGTCTGTAACAGGGCGGAATTGCATCATCACACAACAGGTAATTATTGTGACTGGTGATTCATGGCGGGATTCCTCGAATGGAGCGGAGAGATTGGAGAACTGTGATGAATGATAAGTTAAGAACTTAAGTCAGGTGATTTTTCGTCGATCGCGACTAACTACCTTGAGTATTATTAGTCAGAATTAGGCCAATTTCGCTTTCCTTCTTTCGCTCTTTCCTTCCGTCATGTTCTTTCACTCATCTTTCTCCTTTTCCATCTCCGTTTCCATCTGGTTCTCCATCTTGTTTTCCATCTTAGGTTGTCAAGGATTTTGTGGCCATAGGCTGAGGGGCCCTGATCGAAGCAACCCGCATTCGCGTCGCGTAAGTATGCCTTCATTTGTCACCTGGTGCGGTTTCTTCAAAACGGCACCCGGAAAAGCGGGTTCGATACTGCAGGTCGATCCGTAAAGGGGCATTGCTGGGGATGGTTCAGTTGGAAGGTGAACTAACAATGAAGCAGGTGTGCGGCTGCAATATTTTGATGGTCGAGCGCGGGAAGCAAGAGCTATTATTTAGATATTATTTAAGGGACACGGATGACATAGGTACCTCAGTAAGGGATGCACAAAGCGGTCTGTCTGTCTGCCTTCCCATTCTGGCACAACAGAATCACATGTGTCCAGTCACCCCAATCTCGTTCCCTGTTGCAAATAATGCCAAGAACGTCCCCCGTGGCTACCTATCCTCACCCACATCCAACACATTAGGTACCTAGGTATTTGAGGACCCAACAGTTCATGGAGCCATGGCGGAACTGGGAAATCCCCTGAAACGGCCACCCACATTGAACATGAGGTCGAACTGTTCCCCGTTAGGTACCTGCACTGCTAACAACTTGGCATCCCCCCTAGTTATCAGGAAAAGAAACAAAAAAGAAAAAAAGGAGTTCTCGCCATCAAGCGGAGCCCGCGGAGCTTGAATTGTCGCTTATGTTGGGTTGCAAACCGCGCAGTCATGGCGTCCGCAGACTCCCTTCGTTCTAGTCGACCCGAGCTCGTTTTCCTTAACCTGATGGTCTTCCGCCGACATGTTTCCACAAGGATCGAACTTGATGTCCTCCTTCACACGCCTGCCGCACTCGTAAATCTTGGTGTAGACGTGCTTCCTGCATATCGTGGCGGTATTTACCTAGGGTCGTTAACACCAAGGCAGAGAGATTGATCTTTTCAAGACGCGGACAAAGTGTCGCAGCCGGGGCAGTGATGGTGAGGAGATAGAGGATTCATGGAATGGGCCGGTGATGGTTGAGCCTTTATACACCACAAACTACACTGGCATCGCTGCCGAAACACAGTTCGCATTGCGAGGATTCTCGCTCTCCCAACTGACCTTACTCGTACTTCTCTCTTGCAGCGCCAAGGACGTTCAGGGCTTTCCCAGTGCGTGACAAGGCTCTCGGTTCAGGCGCGTGAACGCATCTTCAGGGCCAACCACAGGTCAACCGAAGCGGCATGTATCTTGTACAGGCTATCATTGGTACCATGGAGTTAATACTCCTTCTGAACATGGAAGAACCCCTCTTCAGGAAGGCTCGTAATGTTCGCCCTGTCAAGCGTGTCAAGCGCCAACACTCCCGCCCAAGACCTACCCAACACGAAAACGCGGGGCAACCCTCAACCGGCGGGGACATGCAGTGACGGTCACAGTCTCGGCTTTGCCTACCAAGGCATATGAGGCAAACAAACACGTCCGGTGAGGGGTTGCAAGGACATGGGCCTTTCCCCCCAACGGCGGGCTAAACGGTTTTTTGACCGGTCCGCGGCCGGTTGCATCTTCGCGGTCGTCGATCCCAAATATGGGCACACTCGCGTGCCTAGATCCCTGTCTGAGAGGACGATGCAGCACGAGGCTCCGATGCGTTGTGGCCATGTCAGTCACGGTCGCCCAATCAAGCTTGCAGCTGAATTGTGCATCTCGTATTGTCGTCACCAACGAGCCTTTGTCGCCGCCCATCGCAGCCATTAATGGACAGCGGTCTACCATCCTGCGACCTACTCGCAAAGTTCTAGGCCACGGGCAGACTCCACGAGCAAAGCTGCGCCCCGCCGTTATGAAATGGGGATGACACAATGGCTGTGCTTCGCATCGCCGTGTTGTGACGCCCATTCTAGATGATCTTCACCCCGCAGAATCCCCCCTCGGTGTGGATTGTCGGTGGATCGTGCGCTGCAGGTAACTTTTGCGAGGCGAGCGGAGGGAAAGGGTAAACCATATGCACGGTGCAACGGAGCAGACCGGAAGAGGCAGGCTTCCGGGTGACGGAGGAGGAGGAGAACGGTCGAGAATAAACTGAAAAGAGACCACGGCAATGCGAAGGATACCTACTTATCTCTTGGGCAGCAGCAGCAAGTAGAAGGACATATGTTTCCGAATTCACAACGTCACACCCTTCGGGGGAAGGGGCATCAGTGTTCGGTGTCCTCGGTTCTAAAGGTCCTACCGCTCACTCACACTGCTTTCCGCAACCGGGCGCCCCCACCTAGCAATCCATCGGCGTCTCATTCTTCAGGCCATCTACAATAGCATCTACTTGGACTTGTCGCCTTTACAATCAGTCGAAGGGACGATGCCGCCTGTGGTCTGTCGGAGTATGGAGGCCATGATGGCTGAATACCTAAGTGGCCTCCACCTAAGTGGCGGTGTTTTGAAATGGAGGTCACTGTATTGACTGATCTCTGGACACTTCACTATTTTATGACGGGCCTTGTTTTTACAACACGTCTTGTCTAGACGGTCACTTCACACTCGATTAGGGGTTCAAGATCGCGTATAGCGGCGCGGATTCGTTTGGACTGTTGGTACACTTGATGACTTGAAGGGACGTCGGTGCTTGCCTTCTAGGTTGCTCAAGGGGACAATCCGCAGCCACGTCCAATAACTCCTGTGTATATAAACCAAGTTCATGTGTTGACTTCTTTACAAAGCCAGGTTGCGCTGTGTAGCGTCACGGTCAGCGGGCCAGGAAACAAGGGCCGAGACCTCCAGATGAACATCCAACAAGGGTCCGTTATTCTCATATCAGTGAAGCCAACACTAAGTCTAGATAGTTATAGTTAATACAGGTTATAAATTTATACCGCGAGACAGACAAGCTTATCCGGTTGTCTGAACCTTTTTTAACCGTTTTACAAGGTACGTACCTAATGGGGAGTATAATAATGCACAATATTTGAACACGTGATAGTTACACCAATTGATACCGGTTTAAATGGGTTTCCCCCTTCTCATTTTTCCGGAGCATGGCAGGGGTAGGTGTTGATGCCACATTAGACACCCAGCTGAGTGGCGCACGTAGGCAACACGATAAGGTCCGTCAGGGGTCTCAGAATCCTTTGCTACGCCATTTTATTGCCAAGTCCAAGGCACCTCTTGTTCAAAATGCTCTCGCTCTAACCCTACCCGTAGTTGCACTAGATCGGCCTACCGCACACCGTCGACTAAGAAGTCTGCAATGGCTAACCGATGTCCAGCATTGGATTGCACAAGTCTAGAGCCAAGGGATCTGGAAGCCAACAATGACATATCTGGAACAGGAGTCCGTCCACCAGCCTCTTCCAGATCGCAGCCGTCGCACTGCACAATGCTAATTCTTCACAATAGGTTCTGGTGGGGTTTGTAGGCACAGGATATGTCGTTCTTGTAGTCCTGCTCATCAACTACCTTATTGCCTACGACCCTATGCCTCAACATGTCTACATTGGATGGTCACGCTACTTTATTGAGCCAATCCTCAAGCCGAATCCGATCGATGTCAAGTTCCTTGGCTGGGCTCGCGGTATAATCCGTCGAGTTATACGTTTGGCCCCCAATTCCTGGTCAGCGTACACCATCAACGCCGACTTTTCTACCGCCCTGCGCAAGGTGGGCGCTTCAACAAGCCCTCAACACTGTGCTCCACTGGGCTAACCAAAATATAGAGCATTCTCAATCTCTGCGATGTCCAAATGGTCACCGGGTTAGCTATCTTGATCAGCGGATTCATGGTCATGGATTGCGGTCTCTCATCGTACCACTGGCAGATCATGGTATACCTCGCCTGGTTTTCGACCGTGGCCCATATGTCCAGCCTTACATCCGTCCGAGATTACCTCTCGACGCGACCATGGCAGAGGAACATCCGCTTTCTCATGACGCTGATTCTTCTCGCAATGCTGATCACCGCAATTGTCCCAACGGCATACTTCCAATGGTCATCAATAGGTCTCACAAGCGACGACCGCAAGGGGACTCTAACTAGGACCGAACTGCAGGCCCTGCCAGCTGCCTGCTTTCTTCGACCTACAACAGCTACCCTCATTTGGGACTCCCAATATTGCCCAGCTGACGGGTCTTCCTCTCACAGATACCCGTGGCCCTGCACGTTTCAGTCTAGTTTCCTTGGAGACAACGGCCCATATCAGAGCGCAGTCTTCTCCATCACCCTCCTCGTCTTCACATTTCTCACACGAAGCATCAAGCTTTTCAACCCTCTTTCTGCGCTTGCCAGCCGATTCCTGACGCGCCCAGTCAGCCGGCTGCTCCACCGGATTCTCCTCTGGCTGTCCCGTTCCCAGCGCCGCGACCCGGACTTGTCTCAGGTGGCGTGGCGACCCCCCCTCCGCCAAAAGCTGCTCTTCCGTCTCGTAACCCGTCCAGTCCTCGCCCTCCTCCTCACGCTGCGTCTCCAGGTCGACCTTTTCTCATCGATGCTCTCCGAGGTAAGGGACCTCTTTATCACTCCATGCAACCACACCAAATCTCACGCCACGGACCCTCGCTAACCCAGCCCAACCCCCCCGGCCCCCCAGCTCTTCTGGCTCATGTGCATCCTCGCCTGGGGCACCGTCAAACTGCTCTCCTCACGCAACACCCTTGACACCGAGATCCTCGAGGAGGAGACGCAATGGACCTACGGCCAGATCCTGCCCGTCCTGCTCCTCGTGATGCCCGTGCTGGGGGTGGTGGGGACGCTCTCAGTCGAGACCAAGCCCAAGGTCACCGCCGCGATGGCCCCACCCCAACCACCGGCCGCCACCCGGGATAGCAGCAGCTCGGGCCCGGGGGTGCGGCTTCTTCTGAGAAGGCAGTTGTCGGCAGACAGCCTGGAGATGACGGATATGACGGGTGGCCGTGTCTCTGTCTCGGCGGCTGAGGGTATTGCTGGCTCCGGCCAGAATGCGCCTCCTGTTCTGAAACGGCTGCTGTCTAGAGACAGCTTGGACATGACGGATGGCCAGGACGACTCGGTTGCTGGGGGGACACCCGATTGGTTAGTCCGGAATTACTACGACTCGTTCTGGGTGAACTACTGCATTGGTGGTGAATGCGCGGTGATCTTTGCCTATGGGATCATTCTGTTTTCTGTGGTCTTCAATTTTGGGCATGGCATGGGTCTTGCCTCGCAGTTTAACCTGCTGCAGTTCTGGGTCTCGGAGTTTGCCGGGGTGTATTCCCTGGTTACGGTGCCGCTGGCGTGTTTTGCAACTTTCCTTGTCGGCTTGGGGATGGAGAAGTGGTTGCAGGCGCCGGGTAGTAGGGCGGGGAAGCATACCGTGATGTTGCTACTTGCAGCGGCCATCCACACGGGTTACGTCTTTATGGTGCTTCTTGGCCCCTTTTTGCCGTGGGGTCTGAGCGGTTCTGATGCTCACGTCATCAGAGTTGTGGCAATCATATCGATGGCGGTTGGGCTTTACTGTTTATATGCTCTGGTTGTTGTCGTGGGGAGTTTTGCACGTAGATAGTGGTACCGCCGAAAAGCCGCGGCACGGTGACGGTGGCATAGCCCTTGATTGAAGTGGGGAGGGATAAGTTTGCGCTAACGTATACTTCAGGGGATTTAATTGCCTGAGGATATAGCCAACCCCTTCACGTCGTGACATGATGCCGCTCGCCGAAGTCATGAACACCCTTTCTCTGGTGACACGCGGGTTTCTGTGCCTAAACGGCGCTCGCTTCTCGTTGAGTGGTTAAACTAAAAGCGGTTTGTGGTGTTCAAAGACCTCAGTGTTGAGATCGTTCGGGAGAATGTGAACAAAAAGTTGATCCCCTCTAATATGCATGGCCCTGACGTGATTTGCAAAGGCGGTGTCCACACACCCAAACAGGGCTACCGTTCCGTAGTTTCGGGTTTGCCGCTTCCTCTAATAGTCTCAGTTGCATTCTTTCCTGTCCAATTGTACGCAACATTTACGCGGCCTCGGAGGTGAGGGATCTGCTGTTTCAGTCAGATACGGTATACCTCTAGCTGCAACGTGACACGAAGTTACATGTATTGTTCTTTTACCTCTCATCACACTATCAAACCCCAGGTACCCGAGTGTTCATACTCGCAGGGTCGTCACGATTGACATTGTGCCTAACTTTGCAATGGCCGGTCTCGAATAGTTTAGTAGCACCGGAAAACGGTAACCGTCGTTGCTTGACAGAATCCATGTCGCGGACTGGCTACCTCAGACCCTAGATGCGTGAATTCTCAAGCGCAGGAGCTGAACATCCAGCCAGGAACTGGCGGTGACACGTGCGGCAATCCATAGTAACGCCCCATATCTGCTTTTTCTGACCTCGATTTAACTCGTGACAACTCACAGGTGATGCAAGCATGTTTATGTGGGCCCATGCAATACAACCAAAAGGCTCAAGGCCGTCTGTGGAACGGCCAAGACTCGGACAACGGGGGAGGACGGTTCCCGAGCAATTATAACGACGGAGAACTTCTTCCTGCAGTGTTCCCTCGTGTAGTATCAGGTGCAAGACGCTCCCCTCGCTGATCTCCTCCTTCCACAACATTCTAACTCGAAAGTCTCCAATCAACATCAGAAGCTGAATACTCGCCGCCAAAATGCAATTCCCTCTCCAAACGGAAGCCCTCGTGGTCGACACAGTCGGAGGCGGCTTTGTGATGACCCCGATTACCATACACGACTTAAGGTCGGACGAGATACTCGTCGAGATGAAGTACTCGGGCATCTGCCATACCGTATGTGTTCAAGGGTTACTTGCTCCCAACCGCCCTCACTGACTGCTGCCAATATCAGGACTTCTACCTCCAACAGGGCGGTTTCGGTCCTCTTACGCAGTTTCCGGCCATTGCCGGGCACGAAGGAGCAGGGATTATACGGGGCATCGGCTCGAACGTCAAGAATAAGTCACTCCAAGTCGGGGACTCTGTATTGCTTTCCTTTGCCGCTTGTGGAGAGTGCTCCCATTGCCAAGAGGACCAGTTCAGCCGATGCACCCAGTTCATACCGCTCAACCTGACCGGTATTATACGCTCTGATGGGAGTACCCCTGCCAAACTCTCTGACGGCCGGGCCGTCCGAAGCCAGTTCTTTGGGCAGTCGTCATTTTCCCGATTCTCGGCGGTGCATGAGAACTGCCTGGTCAAATGCCTGTACCCCCAGGACATGGCGATCTACTCCCCGATGGGGTGCGGGTACCAGACCGGAGCGGGAACCATTCTCAACATCTTCAAGCCCAAGCCGGGCCAAACCGTGGCTGTGTTCGGCGCGGGCAGCGTCGGATTTGCGGCGATCATGGCTGCCGCAACCATTCCGGTCAAGCAAATCATCGCCATAGACATCGTGGAGAGAAAGCTGGCGCTGGCAAAAGAGATAGGTGCCACACATACCATAAACTCCTCAACTGTTCAAGGCAGCGTCGTGGACGAACTGAAGAAGCTTACTGGAGGACAGGGGGTGGACTTCGCCGTCGACACCACTGGCGTGTCTTCGGTTGTCGAGAAGATGCTTGACTGCCTGGCCTACAGCGGAACCGCGGCATCAGTTGGGGCGCCACCAAGAGAAGAGAAAATTACGGTGGACGTTGGCCTTTTCTTTGGGCTCAAAAAGACGTGGATCAGCGTTTCCGAAGGGGACTCGCATCCCCCCGAGGTTGGAGCCCTACCATATTCTCGAAATCGCCCTTGCTAACGGTCAACAGTTCGTCCCCAAGCTCATCGACCTCCACAGGCAGGGGAAGTTTCCGATCGAGAAGATAAGTAAAGTTTATCCTGTTGCCGATTTTGAGAAGGCCGTTTCCGACATGAAAGATGGAACCGTAAGGACTTTCCCCCTGGTTTACCAGTCACGACTAACACGCAATGATATCCAGGTCATCAAACCGATCATTAAATTTTGAGTTGCACCTCAAGCACCGGAGTTGGCGGCTGGATAGCAAAGAGTCTACAGATGCTGCCAGTAAATAACCAGTGAGCTCTAGGTTCAAATGTGACTTTCTCAACACGTTCTTCACTCATATTCCATTGGATCTTATGGAATATCTTGATGGAAAGGCCACTGCTATTCACGATCCCATAAACCACCATCCCTAAAAGGTATCTCCCATCACGTATCAAACCTTCTCCACGTTGGCCACATCGGGGTTCTCCCCGCTGGCCGCCTTGGTATCCCCTCCGCTCCCCTCACCCACCACGCCATCCTCCCCCCGCTCGTGCAACCCAACCTCCGTAGTCGAGAACGCATCGACGGTATCCCGATACGCCGGCACAAAGTTGACCGCCACGGCATACGTCCCCGCCGCCACAAAGAACATAGTCGGCACCACCATCGCGAGCCCCGTCCCGTGCCGATCGGCGGCCACGCCCATCAGCGGCGGCACGCACGCACCGCCCAGCACACCCCCGACGATCCAACCCGACCCGCGCTTGGTATGCCTCCCCAGCCCGCGCATGCCCAACGCCACAATAGTCGGAAAGCAAATCGACTCGAACAGCATCACCACAAACAACATGCTCATACCCGTATTCCCGCGCTGCGTAATCGCCGGCGCCGCGAACACCACACACATGGCCATAAACACCAAAAACACCTTCCGCGGTTTCACAAAATGCATCAGCGCAGCACCCCCAAACCTCCCCACCGCAAACCCCGCCTGCGAGCCCGCTAAAAACTTGGACGCCAACGCCGAGTCCGTATCGGGCCTCGTCTCCGTCGCGTAATTAATAAAATACCCCGCGATGGCCACCTGCGCGCCGGTATAGCAAAACTGCGCAAACGCGGCATGGAACAGGCGGTACTGTTTGCGGAAGGGCTTGTCCTGGGCGCCGGCGTGGGTCTCGGCGGCCTGGAAGGCCATGTCGGCGTCGGTGATCTCGGGGATGGTGGAGAAGAAGAAGACGGTGGCGAGGAGGTACACGAAGCACGCGATGGCGAGGTAGACCCATTGCACGTTGCGCAGGGCGACTTCGTCGTCAAAGTTGAAGAAGACGTAGGAGCCGAGGACGGGGGCGACGACCGTGCCGATGCCGTTGAAGGCTTGGGCGATGTTGATGCGGATTTCGGAGAATTTGGGGGGGCCGCAGACTGGGAGGGGGGAGGGGGGGATTGGTTAGCTTCGGGTGTTCGTGCGCTTGAGACATCAAATGTTGGGGTGGCAAGGGGGGAGGTGGGAATTACCGGTGATGTAGGGGTTGGCTGCTGTCTCGAGCGAGCCCAGCCCGTTGCCGATGATGAAGATGCAGACGCAGAAGCCGGCAAACGATTTATTGATGATGGCGGGGATGGCGAGCAGCGCCCCGAGGCCGTACAGGAACAGGCCCCAGATGAAGACGGCGCGGTAGCCAAAATGCCGGAGGATCCATGCTGCGTGGCCGAGTGAAGCGAGAGGGTATGCGCTGGTCGGTCAAAGTCAGCAGTTATTCGATGGCCCCTCCAGCACACAACCCAGAATACGCACCCAAAGTACGCTGCTTGCAGCCCGGATGATCGCGTCTTGTCAATGTCGAGCGTCTCCTGAAAGTGTTTGTTGAGGGTGTCGAGCAGGCCGTAACTGAACCCCCACAGGAAGAAGAGGATGGTGACCAGGCCGATGGGGTATATCGACTCTCGCAGGGTCAGCTCCGCCGCTTTTGTCCGCTGGTCGTCGGGCACCCGCAAGGAGCGCCTCTTCCAAAATCCTTTCGACACCATCGTGGCGCGGTTTCACTTTCCACGGTAATGATGTATGTACTACCTAGTCCGCGACCCCCTCGGGGAAAAAGGGATAGACATGCATATTTGGGGGAAACCGTTGCCTCGGGACCTGCTCGCCGAAGGGCCCATGTTCCCCGCGCGTAACGGTGCTTTCTCGGGGCATTGGACACACCGACGATCGGCTGTCGTGCCTGTCCAGGGGGCTGGGCTGTTTGAGTCGCACGATGCCGGCGACGCTGCGACCTTGGCTCCTTGCCAGTGGTTATCCTTTGCTTGTGGGATGGCGACTGCGTCGATTCGTAATGGGGATTCTGAAGGATTCCACCAATCAACCCATTCGAGGGGCCGGGGTAAACTGGGAAAGGTAAGCTTTGGTGTTAAGTTTACCTTCCTCTTAGGGCTTCCCCGCAGAGCTTCGGTGCTCAGATGTTGCATCGATCAGCGGAAGTAGCGGGATCGGCGTCAACAGTGGGTCGGGGTCGCTGGAAGCCGGCAATTAAGCCTGGCCAGGAGAGCCAGGAGAGGTTGAAGTTGGGGTATTGGTGCGGTTCAAGGGTCGTATCCGTGGATAACCACCTGCCGTGCCGTTGCATCATCGTAGTGGAGCGCTAAAAGTCCGAAGGTGGGACAACGAAGGTTTGTGGAAGAGAAGATTAATTCCGACTTGGTCGTCGAGGTCATGAAGCGTCTTCGTCCGACCTTTCGCTGCTTATACCTTGCTTAACCCCACTCGACAGATGTCTCACTACCCGTAGCGAGAGCCTGGACACCGTAGCAATCGCTGCCATCTTGTGCCACAATGGGGATAAAGGTTATGATGGCAAATAGATTAATTCTAGATTGAAGAACCCGCCTCTAAATCTCTAGAGATCATCTAGACCGTCAAAGCCAACCGACTCCTCGGTAAGTCCCATGTTCCCTGATACTACCCTGGCACCCCGCCGCCTCGCCGACTTGATCACTGGCAGCTCTGACATATGAATCTTTGCGAGCCCATACGGAATCATCCTGTACGTCTGCCTCTCAGTCACACACGTGGGATTCTTTGGGGGCACATCCGGCGCGACACCCTCCCGGACCGGCCAGTCGATTTCGCATCCCTGGACAGTGAGGTAGTTGGTGGGTCCCCGGTCGGTTTCAAGAGCGCTGAATCCTCGTTGTATGCCGATGTCGGCATCGCCGCGGTGATATTCGAGAGTTGAAGGGTCGATGGCGACGTTCCACTGTTACAATCAGTAAGAAGATCCCAAAGATAAATGACTCGCCACTTACCGGCTTCGTAAAGTTGTAGTAGTTGTCCTTGACATTCTCATACTCGGAGAATTCATCTGTGCCCTTCCCGCGGACATCCCAATACCTGTGAGGGAGCGTGGTGGTCACACTCCCCCCGACATCCAAGGCATACAAAATGTTCCCAACATAAACCGACACGGCGCCATCCGCCCTTTCTCTCTGTTCCACGCGAACCGCGGAGTCAATGTAATACTCCAGTATCGAGTGCCCCTTGGGCACCGACACGCGAAGCAACCCAGTATCTGAATTCGGCGACATGGGAAGGCTTTCCACCGCGGCGCCATCGACCGCAAGCGACAAGAACGACTTGGAGAGCATGCCCCACGAAGGAAAGCGCAGGTAGAGATCAAAGTCTGACTCGGCGTCGACGACGTACCTTAGTCGGTTGGAAAAGGGGTACTCCGTCTCACACTTGACTACCACCCGTCCGACTTGTGGGACGGTCGTGTCCACTGTTGATGGGCTCAGCAAAGCGTGGACGAGCCCGTTGTCAGCTCTCCCCCAGCTGTTCGCCAGGAACTTGGGGTAGCCCTGAGGGAAGTTGACAGTGCAGCACGGGTATTGGGGTTCCAGGCCGAAGATGGTGGCAACGCCGTTGGCAGTGGTGAAGAGTGATGGCAGTCGGTTTTGGTTCAGGGCCCAGGGCCCGTTGGGCCGTGTCATGTACTGATGCGACCACATATCGTGGCCCAGCATTGTGGGCAGGGCGTTGAAGATGACCAGCTCAGCGCGGTCAGCAAAGGAGTTGGTACCCAGGGCGTGGTACAGGTAGGCGAGCGAGTAGCCTGTTTCGACGGCAGTGCACAGCTCGGAGCCCATGAAAGGGGCGAGGTCCCGCTGGATCTCATCGGCGAGGATGGTACCAGAAGCGGCGCCCTTGTACTTGAAGGTCCAGTCCACAGCGTTGAAGGTTGTGTTAAGGAGTGACTCGCTGTGAGTGAACCGTCGAATGACTGCCGTCGATTTGAGACCTGCCCTCTGTTAATACCCCTAAGCTAGGTAAAAGGGGAGTGAGCATCGAGATGACTTACCCTGCCCGACGTTGACCCCGTGAAGATAAGGAAACAAGGGGTTGTTCGTCGTCGGGTCCGCAATAACCTTCTGATACTTGGTCTCATTGTACCAATTCTCCCACTTAAACTTGGACATCTCATAAAGCATATCCATCGTCTCCCACAACAACACCTGATCCTCCTCCGCCAACTCGGCATGCTCCAACAACCACTGCACCACCAAAATCGTATCCTGAACCCTCACCTGCCCCCACGAACAATCCACCGGATTCCACTCACACTTGGTATACCCCTCCCCATCATTCCTCAACATCCCATGCGCCAACCTAAAATACCTCACCGCCGCATCCACCACCACCCCATGCCAGCCCGTCGCATTCCCCTCCGCCAACTGCGTCAGCCCCAACAAAAACGGCGTCCTCCCCCAAAAATTCCTATCCACCCCCTCCCGAA